ACACAAATGTTATAAATTATTTTTTTAAAGATACAGCTACAGATGTTTTTAATACTTTTATTTTGGAGAAGATACTTTTATTCACACGACAGGAAGATTATCTTCCCCAGTTGTCACGCATTTATATGAAATAAAACTGAAAGTTCAGACTGTCTTTAAATGCATCACAAGGAAGCTCCAGTGAATCATTTCTGGGAAGAGTTGTGTTTGTTTACTTTCAGTAAAACAGGAGGACTTTCACACTAAACACAGGAAACACACACAGAATACATTCTGCAACAACAAACAGGTGAAAACGGTTAAAATGACTTTAAACAGATGTGTTCAGGAGTTCCTGAAGAGATGGAAAACAGGAAACAGTTTTCTGCAGAATAATTCAGGTTAAACAATGTCAATTTATGCATATACATTTATCTTTGGTGTTACATGAATTTAACAACTAAAAAATGTCAACAAGCAGATACAGATTTAAAAAACCGACAATTTGTTGGATTTAAGCAAATTTTAAAATCTGGATTTTTTTTTCTTATTACAATTTAAAAACAGCACAAATACGGAAATAAAGTTATTTTAAATCAATATATCAGATTAAAAATAATAAGAAAATCTACTATAATTTAATTAACACACTATAAATGAAATAAAAACTAATTAAAAACTTGCTGACAAGCTGCAGTTGTGATTTCAGCCAGCAGGGGGCAGCAAACCTTCACATGTTGATTTAAACTCAAACAAATAAAACAAACAGAAACATTCAGGTCCAGATGTGGTCACTACATTTATTCAACATGAGTCCTGACATATCTGAACATTTTCACACTAAAACATCAAATATTAAAACAAAACGATGATGAACTCCCTGAGAAACAAACGACAGAAACCTTCACGTCTGCAGGTCTCTGATCCAGTTTACAGACCATCAGAAATTAAATATTCTCATCTTTGATAATATTTTTATCTTCAGAAACCAGCTGTCCAATTAAAATAGTTCATATGTTATATCAGGACGTTTAAAAATAAGTTTCAATTTGAAAAAAATAAAATAAAATAAAAACTAAACATATACTAAAATTAGAAAATCTGTTGTAAATATACAAAAAGTTCGGTAAAATTTACAAAACATACAGCAGTGTGAAAAGTGTTTTCTCTTGTTTGTCACTTAAATGTTTCAGAGCATCAAACAGTTTAAACATGAGTCAAAGACAACACAGGTAAACACAAAATGCTGTTTTTAAATCAAGGAGTTTATTATTAAGAGAGGAAAATCCTCCAAACCTCCATGACCCTGTGAGACAAACTGATGGTCCTCCTTGTTAAAACGGTGGTTTCTCCCACCTGAGTCCTCTGTCTCTGGCCACACCCAGGCCTGATTATTGCCACACCTGTTCTTAATCAAGACATCACTTTAATAGGACAAGTCCACCAAAAGATCCTGAAAAGCTTCACATCATGCTGAGATCCAAAGGAGTTCAGGTCCAAATGAGAACTTCAGTCATTGAGCTCCATCAGTCTGGAAAGGGTTAAATTTCCAAAGCTTTGTGAATCCAGTGAACCACAGTCAGAACATTGTCCACAAACTGTGAAGACATGGAGCACTGGGGAACCTTCCCAGGAGGGCCCGCCGCCCAAAATCACTGCAAGAGCACAGCGACAACTCATCCAAGAGGTCCCAAAAGAGCCAGAAGAACATCTAAAGAGCTGCAGGCCTCAGCAGCCTCAGGTGAGCTCAGAGTTCATGTGTCCACCATCAGAAGGAGACCAGGTACAAGTGTCAGAGGTCCTCGATGAAAACCACTGCTGAGCAAAAACATGGTCTCAGTTTGACCAGAACATATGTGGATGATCTCCAAGACAACATTCTGTGGACCGATGAGGCAGAAGATGAGCTCTGTGGAAGCTGTGTGTCTCAGGACATCTGCTGTAAAACAGAAGATTAAACCAACAGTAAAACACGGTGGTGGCAGTGTCATGGTCCGATGGTCTGGGGCTGTTTGCTGTGTCAGGACCTGAAGACTTGCTGTGATAAATGGAACCATGAGTTCTGCTGTCCACAACAACCACCCATCTGTCCATGACCTCCAGCTGAAACCATGATGTTCTGCAGCAGGTCCAGCTCCTGGTCAGAGTCCTGACCTGAACCCTACTGAGATACTGACCGGACCTCAAAAAGACCCTTCATGCTGGAAACCCTCCAGAGTGGCTGAAGTACAATGATTCTGTAAAGATGAGCTGCTGAGGGTGGTCCGACCAGCTGCTGAGGGTGGTCCGACCAGCTGCTGAGGGTGGTCCTACCAGCTGAGGGTGGTCCTACCAGCTGCTGAGGGTGGTCCTACCAGCTGCTGAGGGTGGTCCTACCAGCTGAGGGTGGTCCTACCAGCTGCAGAGGGTGGTCCTACCAGCTGCAGAGGGTGGTCCTACCAGCTGAGGGTGGTCCTACCAGCTGCAGAGGGTGGTCTGACCAGCTGCAGAGGGTGGTCTGACCAGCTGCAGAGGGTGGTCTGACCAGCTGCAGAGGGTGGTCTGACCAGCTGCAGAGGGTGGTCT